GAATCCGGACCATGGTCCGCTAATCCTTGACGTCTGGTATAGAGGACGATCTTTTATTTCCTGGTGGATCATCAAACTAAGTGGTCCTCTTAATTGCCAATCATTCTGGTGATATGTTAAGGTAAGTCCCACCTACGTGCTTTTCCCGTTTGCCATCATTTTCTGTGCATGCCACTTTTTAGCCACATATCTGTGGTGAGCTATGGTTTCAGACGGTCATTGAAGCTCACCTTTCTCATCGCGGTTCTTTGAAAATGCCTGAGGGTCGTAAAAAAAGAAAAGGCCTCAGAAGAGGCAGATATATTCCAGAATGCTATGGGGTCTACTGTCACAGTGGCCTGCTGTTGCCTTAAGCTGTCGCTACCCGACAGCAGCGACTAATAACAAAGATGGCGCAGGCACCGCAGATAAGAGGAGGAGTTATGTGACCAACGGAGCAAAAAGTAGCATCATCTGTCCGAACGGACAGTTACCTGAGTTCGCTATGAAGTCCGCTATATATATGAGGTATTAGAACAGCACATTTTAAACAGAGCGTGCAGGAGAAGAAATGGGCTCGTGCTCTTGAACGAGGGCGGCTATTTTAAAAGAAATCCTCCACAATACCTTTATTAGCCCAGCCCCAGTCAGGATATTAACATTTTGAATATCAAAACCATGACAGATATTTTGCTCTTGATATTTGCCCAGTTTTTCCTCTCCACTGTCGCTACAAGCATGCTTAGTGTGAGGGATTGCTGAAGAGTCAATGCAATCAACCGGTTTTCCTTAGATTGAAAACTTTGAATCAATTTGACTGTATGATCTGGTTGTACTGTAAAGTGCCTTGAGATGACATGTGTTGTGAATTGGCACTATAGAAATAAACTGAATTGAATTAAATTGAATTAGTTTAGTTGATAGGGCAAAATAAAGACGTATGGTTGGTTTAAATAAACATCAAAACATCATAACCAGTAATAATATGAGCATGTTATTATTATCTAATTAGGATTCCAACCAAAGGTCAGGGGTCAGAGACTCTTCAGAGTGTTTTCATTGTGTTACAGAAAAACATGAAACCAAAAAACAGGAGAATAGTTTATTGTTTGAAATATATTAAGAGCTGCAGAACCAAAGAGCCACTTGTGGCACTGCCTTAAATGAAGCAAAAATTCCAAATCGTTTATTTTCATGAAAGTTTTTGTTTGTTTAAATTGAAAATTTGTATTTTTGGTTTGAAAAAATAAATATATAGTAGATATTATGGATGCACGATATAATCGGCCCCCTATCGATATCGGCCTGTATCGGCCTTAAAACTGAATATCGGACATCAGCCACCCCACCGATATTTAACCCGATATTTGATCAGCTTCTGAGTTTCTAAAGTCCAAAAAA